ATTTGTAATTAATAGTCACTCTTAAGTTCAGAACCCTGTTTGGAGAATTCCGGTAGCCCAAGTCTGAAAGGCAGGCAGATTGGGGAATTTGTTGTACATTTATAGGTATTTTAACATTAGTGATGACTCCAGGAATAGCAAGGCTTGATTCTTAATGCACTACCCTAGTAAGGAGTAGTGAACATGTTTAGCTGTCCACCTCCCCACTTAGCAACGTTGCTCCTGGATAAAGAGGCTGAGCTCTCAACAAGTGGAAGTGATCAATGCAATATTTTGCTGCATACTTTTGGTGTTTAGCCGACCGTGAGCAACATTGAAAGCTCAGGCTCTTTGTCCGAAAGCAAAGGGCAGAATTGGCAATGGAATATATCCCAACACATCACTTCCTGCAGACCCCAAGCAGCACTGCTCCTGGATAAAGAGCCTGAGCTTTCAACGGGTAGGAAATGATCAACGTAAGCATATTTTACTGCATATTTCTGTTGTTCAGCTGACCACGAGGAGCACTGCTCCTGGATAAAGTGCCTAAGCTTCCAATGGGTAGAAATGAGCAATGCAACGAATAGCAACACATTGCTGGTGACATTCGGGCTGACCCCCTGTGACGTTGCTCCTGGATAAACTGCCTGGGTTCTCAAAAGCAAGAAAAATCCACAATGAAATAAATAAGGCATTATGTTGCTGGTGGCTCTTTAGCGGACCTTCAGCAACATTACTCTTGAATAAACTGCCTGAACTCTCAACAAGTAGAAATGAGAAATGCAATAAATAAAGCAACAGGTTGCTGGTGGCTGTTTAGCAGACCTCCAGCGACGTTGCTCCTGGATAAAGCGCCCTGCTTCCAGGATGAATTACAGCGAACGATAACAGCCAGTGCTTCGCCTTCTACGTTAACTATAAATGACTCAGCTTAGTCTAAAAAGTTGCGGATTGGGTTTGGGGGCGGGGAGAAGTTTATTTTAAACAAAGCGGGAAACCGCGTAGCTGGCAGACTTCAGGCAGGAGGGGAAAATGGATCTATTTTCACTTCACAACCGTTTCCCTCTTCCCAGTCTCTTTCTCACCGTTCCCTGAAGTGGCAGGGCCGCGGGAATCCGGGCTCTCCCTCCCTCACGCCACCGTCTCCACACGCTCGGGCCCGCCTCGCGGTCGCCTCAGCAACCGAACAGGCCCGGTGCCACTGCGCATGCGGCGAAGCCCGGGGTGTTTGCCGGGAGTTGTAGTTCCGGAGGACAGGACTTGGGTGAAGGAGGACTGCGCATGCTCGGAATTGGCATTCTGGGGAGCTGTGCGGGAAGTGTGTCGAGGAAGGGGGCGGGACCAAATCCGTAGCCAATGCGCATGCGCTCTCCGTGTTGGACGCTGGGAGTTGTAGTCCCTTAGTGGGGGGTGGGGCTCGCCTGCTGGAGACCGCCTTTGAGAGGTGGGCACTTGGCCAAGGATGCAGCCAGTGCTCATGCGAGTGCCGTGTTGGACGCCGGGAGATGTAGTTCCCTATACACACACACACACACACACACACACACACACACACACAGGTGTGCGAGTGTGGAAAAGGTTCTGATAATTTCTGAATGTGCTCTGTGAACCTGCCCACATGAGATAGCTATTCCAGAACGTTCTGTGATGTTATTTGCCCTCCAATCATTCTCTGCTGTAGGCAGTGTGTACATCAGAGGGCAGTATTGACTGTCATTGCAAACACACAGTCACACACAATGATAGAGTCATAGAGCTGTACAGCGTGGAAATAGACCCTTCGGTCCAACTCATCCATACTGACCAGATATCCTAAATAAATCTAGCCCCATTTACCAGCATTTAGCCCCTATCCCTCCAAACCCTTTCTATTCATGTACACATCCAGATGCCTTTTAAATGTTGTAATTGTACCAGCCTCCACCACTTCCTCTGGCAGCTCATTCCATACACCCTCTGTGTGCAAAAGTTGCCCCTCAGGTCCCTCTTAAATCTTACACCTTCACCAGTTACAGGGGAAGGTGCTGTAGAGCTGTGGGGTGGGGGGGAATTGGGGTATGTTGGGGGTAAAGGAAGTGTGGACCAGGGTGTCCTGGACGGAACGGTCCCTGCGGAAGGCAGACAAGGGATGGGAGGGGAATATGTGTCTGGTGGTGGCATCTTGCTGGAGGTGGTGGAAATGGCATCTGGTGGTCTTCTGGGTGTGGATGCTGGTGGGATGGTAGGTGAGGATAAGGGGAACTCTATCGCTGTTGCGGGAGGGTAGAGAAGGGGTGAGGGCGGAAGTGCGGGAGATGGGTCGGACCTGGTTGAGGGCCCTTTCGACAACGGAGCTGGGGAATCCTCGGTTGAGGAAGAAGGTGGACATTTCGGAGGCTCCCTTGTTGAAGTGGGCCTCATTGGAACAGATGCGACGGAGATGGAGGAACTGGGTCAGTGCGGGCCTGGCTTCAATAGGTCTCTTTCTACACTCCTTGTCTCTCTTCATATCTTTATGTCTGCACTTCCCTTTCCCTCTCTCTTGCTATCAGTCTCTCTCTGCCTCTGTCACTCTGTGTCTATTTTTCTCCTCTCTCTCTGTCTCTCTCCCACTCAATCATTTTTAGTTTGTTTCTCCCTGTCTCAGTCCCTCTCATCTGTCCCTCTCTCCTTTGGTCTGTTGCTGTCAGTCTCTTTCTTGCATCTCTCCGTCTCTAACTCTCTTGATCTGTATTTGTCTCTATCTTTCTCTCTCTCTCTCTCTCAGTCTGTCTTTCTGTCTCTAATTTCCTTGTCTCTCTCACTGACAAACTCTCTCTGTCTCTCACACTCACACTCTCTCCCTGCATCTCTCATTCTCTCAGTCTTTCTCTCTCATCTCTCTCTGTCAGTGTTTCCTTGTCTCTCAGACTCTTTCAGCCTCTCTCTGTGTGTCTGTGTCTCTTTCTCGTCTTTTTCACTATGAGTATCCCTCTCTAATTCGCAATTTCTGTCTCGTCTCTCTCGCTGTCTGTCTTGTTCTTTCTCTCAGTTTCTATCTCCCCTGCCTGTCTCTCTCTCTTTCTCTCAACCTCCCTGGGACTAGTGCACTGGATATCGATATTGCTGGAATGTCACAGAAATTAAAGGTTCAGAATGTAAGCAAAGTTCCCCAATTTCTTTGATGTTCAGATGCAGTCTAACAGAAAGCTCGGAGCCAGTTTCTGCACTGAACAACATAGAACATAGAACATTACAGCGCAGTACAGGCCCTTCGGCCCTCGATGTTGCGCCGACCTGTGAAACCAATCTGAAGCCCATCTAACCTAAACTATTCCATTATCATCCATATGTTTATCCAATGACCATTTAAATGCCCTTAAAGTGGGCGAGTCTACTATTTTTGCAGGCAGGGCATTCCACGCGCTTACTACTCTCTGAGTAAAGAACCTACCTCTGACATCTGTCCTATATCTATCACCCCTCAATTTAAA